TCTTTAAATAACTCATTAATTAATTATCTTGATTGATTATGTATATTATTTATTTAATATTTAATTAGAACATAAATCACACGGTGTATGAGAATATCTAACGGAGATGGGAGTCGAACTTTAGGCACGATCACATTTTCAATACATCGAACATTATTTGGGAATGTCGAAATTATATTTCATCTACCAAATGAAATTGAGTGAGAAGTTCTCGATTATAATATGTTACTCTCTACCTAATGGATATGTAATATCTATTTAAATTCTTTGTACTCTCTATTTATAGTGTGTTACTGATTTCCTCAATTTTTATTTATTTATAGTATGTTATATATGTAATTAAGAGTAATTAGTTATTTATTATTGAATCGGATCGGGTATGATAATTATTATTAATGGATTGGATTGGATTTAAGCAATCCGATCCATATATCAGATCCATTTACAACCATAACTTCAATGCAAATATTTTATTATTGCCTGGGTCGATTTCACGAAAGAGGTTGGGCAACGTACCTCAAACAAATGTTATCTTTTTTGCCTCGATCGTGTACGGAGAAACAATGTGTTGTGACGACAATCTAGTCCTTTTACCAACCATTTGCTCTGACACGTCAATAATATGTTTCGTACAGGGCGTCATCCAAACTCACGACATTATCTGTCAAGTTGGGATTCCTCTCGACATAGTTATGTATATTATTTATATTAATATTTAATAACGTTGTTTAATTATTTATTTAATCACTTAATTAAATAAAAAATTAATATTTAATTTAATTTCTTATTTTGATATTTAAATTATAAATTATCTTAATTGGTCGTGTATAGTATGTATTTAATATTTCATTACCCTGTTTAAATAAATTTACAATATACACAATTATTTCATAAATAAAAAATATATATGCAATTATTTCGTCCCCACCACCGGCACCTCTCCTTTCTCCACTGACATCCATAATGATTCTAATGAAACATCTGCGTACATCTCCACCCCTCCTCGCCACCCTCCACGTCACAATCTCTGCTACTTCTGTCACTATCTAGGATCCCTATCGCCTGTAAACTGTATCTCCTTGGATATGACTCTGACCCTCCCCCTTGATCAATGGTGTCAGCTCAGTGCGCAATTCAAGCTAACATATTAATATTTCACCGAATTAATGATCATGCATCAAGATTTCAAAATGACGTACAACATACCACAAATGAATAATATGTACCTTAGTATTGTTGAAAAGAGCTGATAACTGTCAGCTTTGTCCCCATGGATAGTTGTTGAATGTGTCAGTGTCATCAACAACCTTCAAATGAAAGATGTCGATCGATATCTTCTCGTGATGACACCTCAGTATGCTCTCTAGTATAACACACCATCCACAACTTCAACTTATCAAATATATTGTCGCATTCCTTGAATGCATCTCCTAACTGTGCCAGAGTTACCGTCATAAGCAGGATAGGTATAACAGGTCTACGTGCTACCCATCCAACAAATCTAGGACTAATACGAAGTTGACAAAGTTATAGTTCGACGTAATTTTGTCGGGAATCTGTCTCATATATTTATTTGTTATTTATGTCAATTAATTATTTTTATTGCTTAATTAACATTTAAGTTATTTGTTTATTGAATTTATTTCAATTAGTTATTTATTATTTCAATTAATTATTTTAATTGTTTTATTAATATTTATTTAATTTATTTCAATTAATTATTTATTACTTATTTAAATAAACAATATACATAAATAATTAACATAATTCATGAAATATTTAAATAAACAAATAAAGTATAAAATGAATAATTATATACTAAACAAATAATCTACATAAACAATTAAAGTAATTATTTAAATATTGAATTATTAAATTACTTATTAAATATTTAATTTAATTTTTTATTTAAATATCTCATTAATTATTTTAATTGGTTATGTATATTGTTTGTTTAATATTTAATTACTTATTTTAATAGTTTATTTCATATTTAGTTACTTCATTTAATTATTTATATTTGTTTCTCATTTATTTTAATTGTTTATTGAATATTCAATTGTTTATTATAATTATTTCATTATTCATATTTTAAACAAAATGAAAGAAAAAACAATTAATTATTTTACTTAAATAAACAATGTACATAATTCATGAAATATTTATAAGCAATTAAATTCAATATTAAAAAAATAAAAAAAATGGTTGGCACGTTGAGCCAATCCAAACGGTTGAATCTAACACTGCTGTGAAACTTACAAAATTACAGTTCGACGTAATTTTGCCAGGAATCTGTCTCAAAACGGTGTCCAAATAATAATTAATCCTGCAAAATTTCAAATATTAGAATATTTGAAACATAATGTCACAAAATTCAATTAATCGAACTGTAAGTAATATACGCACGAAATAACAGATAATGAAGAAAATGAATTACAAAATTAGACAACAAATTATAAAAAGCAAAAAACTAATTTTTGTAAAATTATTTATTTAATAATTTATTTTAATTCTTTATTATTTATTTCAATTATTTTTGATTATTTATATTTAATTACTTATTTAAATAAATTATTTTGAGTATTCATATTTATTATTTAAATATATTACTTATATAAATAAATTAAATAAATTATTTTGAATATTTATTTCAATTAAATTTTAATTACATCTTTTGATTATTAACATTTATTCATTATTAACATTTTTAATAATCATTTAATTATTATTTAAATATTCATTATTTATTTTTGTGAATTTAAATTAATTATTCATTCATTCTTTATTTCGATTGTTTTTCATTTATTTATCTCAATTGTTCATTTAAATTATTTGATTTAATCATTTATATTTATTAATTATTTAAATTATTTATTGAACAAGTAAATGTAAATATTTAATTATTTATTTTAAACGTTAGAAATTTATTTCAATTAAATTTTAATTATATCTTTTGATTATTAACATTTATTCATTATTTACATTTTTAATTATCATTTAAATAATCATTTCATTATTATGTAAATGTTCATTATTTATTTTTGTACATTTAAATTAATTATTCATTCATTCTTTATTTTGATTGTTTTTCATTTATTTGTTTCAATTATTCATTTGAATTATTCGATTTAATCATTTATATTTATTGGTTATTTAAATTATTTATTGAACAAGTAAACGTAAATATTTAATTATTTATTTTAAATGTTAGAAATTTATTTCAATTAAATTTTAATTATTAACATTTATTCATTATTTATATTTTTAATTATCATTTAAATAATCATTTCATTGTTATTTAAATGTTCATTATTTATTTTTGTGCATTTAAATTAATTATTCATTTATTATTTGTTTGGATTGTTTTTCATTTATTTGTTTCAATTGTTCATTTAAATTATTTGATTTAATTATTTATATTTATTGATTATTTAAATTATTTATTGAACAAGTAAACCTAAATATTTTATTATTTATTTTAAATGTTAGAAATTTATTTCAATTAAATTTTAATTACATCTTTTGATTATTAACATTTATTCATTATTTACATTTTTAATTATCATTTAAATAATCATTTCATTGTTATTTAAATGTTCATTATTTATTTTTTTGCATTTAAATTAATTATTCGTTAATTCTTTATTTCAATTGTTTTTCGTTTATCCGTTTCAATTGTTCATTTAAATTTTTTGATTTAATTATTTATATTCAATGATTATTTAAATTATTTATTGAACAAGCGAACGTAAATATTTAATTATTTATTTTAAATGTTTGAAATTTATTTCAATTAAATTTTAATTACATATTTTGATTATTAACATTTATTCATTATTTAAATTATTTATTTATCATTTCAATAATAATTTCGTTATTATTTAAATGTTCATTATCTATTTTTTTTGCATTTAAATTAATTATTTATTCATTCTTTATTTCAATTATTTTTCATTTATTTGTTTCAATTGTTCATTTAAATTATTTGATTTAATTATTTATATTCATTGATTATTTAAATTATTTATTGAACAAGTAAACGTAAATATTTAATTATTTATTTTAAATGTTAGGAATTCATTTCAATTAAATTTTAATTACATATTTTGATTATTAATATTTATTCATTATTTGCATTTTTTATTTATCATATAAATAATTATTTATTTATTATTTAAATATTCATTATTTATTTTTGTGTATTTAAATTATTTATTCAAATACAACGAAAAAAAATTGAGGAAAAAGTCGTGGGCCACAGTCAGGTCGTCTAGAAAACAGACGGCCTAGACATTTGGGCCGTCTGGAAAAAGATGGCCCAGCGTCGTTTCACCTTTCTTCTTGGACTAGGTGCCAGAGATTGTCATTTTCGACAATCTCAAAAACACGTCAAAAAATGTCATTTATAGTAATTTCACGTAATCTACAAAGATTTCTACCACTATTTTCAACAAAATAAACCTTTAACATTCAATTTCAAAGATTAATGGGGAAAAATAAGCAAAACTTACCTTCATCGCCTCTAATAGTGGCCGGTTGGTCTCCTTTCAAGAGAAAGTCATCGATTTCCTTGCTATTTATTCTTCAGACGTCGGTTTGAGAGTGATTTGTTAAGAGTAATATTGAATTTTCATTGTTTTTAAGGTTTTTACAAATTTTTCAAAATTTTTAAACTGTAATCAACGATCATTTTGAAAAAATGGCTCTTTTTGGTGGCTATCTGTCACAATTTCCTCCTCAAACAAGGGCTAACTGTTTAGAGCATATTTGAGAGCTATTTTTACGTAAAAATGTAGTTCGGAATTGTAAATTGATGAAAAATGTGTCATTGAAAAATGAGAAGAAATTTTTAATTTACGTATAATATTATTTTAATAAAAAATATATAATTAAAAAAAGAGAAAAAAATATATTTTAAAAAAAATGGGTATCAAACATTCCATACTTTTATCTCACTAAAAGCGAAGGGGATAAAAAATGAACTTAATTTGGAACTAGGGTGACCTCCTGTGTTTTATTTTTATTCGCATTTATATGCTTCTTCTCTCCCGCCTACACAGACGTGCTATAAAATCTCCTGGAGGGGGAACGAGCCATAGACAGCGAGATGGGTCGAGATGTTAAGAAGGAAGAGAAAGCTGTGGCATCAAACCCAGATGTGGAAGAGAGAAAGAGGTTGAAGAAATTGGCGTTTTCCAAAACCATTTTGTCTGAACATCCATCAAGAGTTGGGCCATCAAGTGCTCTTGCCCCGTCGAAAATCGTGACCAAACATCACGGCACCGATATACTAAAAAAATCTCAGCGCAAGAACAGATTTCTCTTCTCGTTTCCGGGCCTTCTTGGCCTGATTTCCGGTGGGAAAATCGGCGAGCTTAAAGACCTTGGCACGCGAAACCCTATTCTGTATCTTGATTTTCCCCAGGTTTAGTTGGTTTTCTTATTATATTTGTCGTGCTTGTTCTGGTTTTTTGACTTGATATGTTATTTTGATTGGGTGAAATGATCTCGAAATTTGACTGAGACATTTTGTTCGATGTTTTTCAAATGGTGCTCTGTTGTGCAGGTTTAATGAATTTGCTCTAGCACCAGTCTTTTGTTCCTTTGATTAGGATGTTGAATTTTTGGTTTGATTCCCAAGTACCTTGGAAACGATGAAGTTTTCTAGTCATCCTTAAAAACTGAGAGCTTACAAGAAAATTACGTAGGAATGACAATATGGGATGCTTACAGAGCTGCAATTTTGTATCTGCTTATAGTGGAAGATAGGAGTTCATAAAACATTTCAGCAATCTTCAACAAGAATTTATTTTTCACCAAATTGTTTACACTTACCTGAATCACTTCTAACCTTTTGACAGGAAAATGGAAGGGAAATAGTGTAGGAACTCATAATTTTATCATATTTGACGTTCTAATGGATATGTTTGATAAGACAGATTCTCAATTAACAAATGCCAAACAAAATACAGATTACGTTTTCTTCAAATGTGTAGGGTCAATTGAAGCTTTTTGGGACCATTTTCTATCCGAAAAATAGGTATTTGACTCTGCAGTTTTCCAGAGGTGGGAAGAGTGTGATGTGTGAGGATTACTTCGACAATATGGTAAGTATTTTCTCATATTTCTTTCTGCCAGTTTTCTTGTCACACATTTCCTCGTCCATGATTGACATTTGATATTTCATATTTTGGACCTTCATATGTGCAACCATCAGAATATTCTTAACTTCATCCTGCAATTGCAAAACACCATGTATTTGTTTAAATGTCTGTGTGTGCGCTATAGCCAATTTTATTGTTTTAAGAAAGCTGTACATAGTTATTTATCAAACTCATAGTACTAGTTTTTTCTCATCAGCTGGACTTGCATCATCCTAAATAGTAAACACGCCCTTGTTTGAGCCCCATTCTTTTCATAAGAATGAGTTTTTGAATGGTGTATTGATGGTAAATGTGTGGTTAAAAAATAAGGAAAAGTTTTAGATTTGAATGTAATATTATTTTATTGAAGAATGTGTGGTTGAAATGATGGATAACATGTATTAATGCTTGATGCTTCTTATGTAGAGAATATGGGGAAACACGAGAACAAAGACGGGATGTTCGGTAGTTTTGGATGTTCAATTTTTCAAATAAAAAGAAAAACAACTTTTACATATTTATATTAGTATTCAAAAGGATAAGTCGAGTTCACGACGAATGGAATTGATGTATAAGTTCATTTCTTTCTTTTGGGTGGTGGTGGTGGTTGGATTGGGGACTGAGTCTTAACAAATATTATTGGCTAATGTGTTTTGAAATGTTTTTAAAATCATGCAGAAATTTTTAATCTTGGTGGGGTTGTGACAGTATATGTCTGACCTTAAATGGCACCTGAGCAAAGATAGAATAAAAAAAGTTGTCCCACCCTGATTAGTACGGTTCCCAAGTCTTCAGTTTCTATGGCTACTTCATCCTTCACCACTTAGTTTTCGAATTGGATGTTTAAAATAACATCTGATATGATACAATCCATAATCAGTTACCAAGCATTTGTCGATATTTGATTTCCAGATGCATTTTAGTTCCATCTTTTCACTTTTCTTGAGGTCGAAATCATGCATTCTTGTTTCTTTCATTCCCAGATAGTATTTTCTGATGCATGGTGGATTGGAAAGAAAGATGAGAATCCAGAAGAATTATGTCTGGAATTTCCGAAGGATCTGAATTTGGTTAGTTTACTGTGAATTTGTTTCACTTGCACTTAATAGAAAGAGAACACCCTGCTTTCAGTTGGTCAAAATTGTAATTATAGAGATACGAAAAGCATGCCAACATACGAGTTTATCACCAAATATTTTCCCAGATATCCTTGACATAGTTTCCCATGTCTTGGTTGGACCCAGGAACAACATGCAGAATATGATTTCAAGGGTGGTGCAGGTGCACCTTGTGATGGAAGACGAGGTTTTATAAAATCTGCAATGAAATGTGTGGAACAAGATTCGCCTCAAGATTCACTGGAGGATGATTTAACTGATAGTCAAAATAATGTGAAAGAATCAATTGAAGTAACTCCTACTCGGCATTCGGCTAGGACTGCAGGGAAAACTTTCAAGTATTTTCTTTTCCTTTTTCTGCAGGACAAGAGCTGCATAGATAATTTTATAACAAATAAAATATGACACGTTGTGAGGTCCTGAGCTAAGCCTTGGCTAAAAAAACTGGCTACTTATACAGTACATAATTTATTTATTTTTAAACATTAACCTCTCATTGAAGTCATATCTTCCTTGTCCCAAATTGATAATTGTGATTTTACTCGTCTGCATGTTTTTAGTACCAAACTAAAAACATATAGGTTTTGTATAGCTCTCCAATTTAATTTAATGTGTGAGATAAGGTTTTATGTAGAACATTATGTTTTCATGTTTGCATCCGAAAATTGATTTGGTGGGTCTATTTTATTAAAGTTAGTTCGGGTCATTTTTTTTGGGATAGCTAAAGATTTACCAAGGAACAGGGAGGGTTTAATTGACTGATTTTGTGTAACTCTATTTTTTTTTCCCACTCTCCTCTTGACAAGGATATCTCGTTCTCTTAAATTTGTATCATATCTTTTCTTCATATATACAAATTCTATTTCTTAGACAGAAATAATTCTTAGATAGAAATAATTATATCTTGAGAATATAGACAAATTTGAGACATGTTAATAAGGCAATGTAGAAATTCAACATGAGACAGAGGAAGCATCTATCAGATGAGTGTGAAATGACAAGAGATTGACAAGAACCCGAAACAAATACACTTAGAATTTTGGTTCGCTGGCAAGGGAAATATGTGATTATGAGCAATTAGTTTCTCATAAGCTGTTTCTCCTCTCACTAGTCAAAAGCAGCAACTTTATCACTTTATGTGCCGAAGAATCTGTTGAAGGATATCTCGAAGAGAATATATGAGATTCAGCTGTAGAATTTATGGACATATATATGCAGACCTTTTTTCTTTTGTTTCACTTGTGAGGCATTTAAAATTACCAATAACTACTAGCACTACCTTTTGCTAGGATGCAGTTATTTACATTATACCTATTTGAAAGTCACATGAGATTGGTTATTTCTGTACAAGGCACTCTCCTTTGCTTTGTTTTGCTTCCTTAAGATCTTGTTAAAATTCCTCTGGGCCTTAAGTTTTGTTGGTGATGCTTATAAAGTCTGGGCAGGTTTGCAGAAACATCGTCTGGGGATGATTTTGTTGGAACAGATGCTGAAACCTTTGAAGAAGAGGATGAGGAAGTTGATGTCATAGAGAAAAAAGGAAATTGTACCTCTATAAATATCCTCATAATTTTTTTTCTCAACAATATTTCATATTATTTTTTTGTTTCTTAACTTTTGTGCTACTAAGTCATGGATATTTAAAGCTTCCTTATACCTTGAGAAGGTAAAAGATGTGATTTCAGCTTCTCCACACTGATTTCCTTAAATAATTAATACAAACTGAACATAGCTGCCCTGTAGTCTTCGACATTGACAATGTGGATGCCACAGAGCCCATTCCAGCTTCAGATCATGTTAAGCGAACTGCCAAATCTAAAGATCTCTCTCATAACAACCACGTTTCTCTTGTTCAAACATCTGTGTCTACATTGTTTAAGAACTTGGAGGAGAAGGTTAGGTTTTGAAGCTTTTACTTTTACAAGCACCAATGCTGGGTCTCTGAGGTCCTTTCTACAAACTATGTTGTGTTGAAAGGATATCTATTAAATTTGACAATTGTGTAAAAGTAGAAGTATAGCATGTAACATCTCTAACCTATCTAATTACAGTTCTACTATCATAGATGGTCATGATAGATGTTGACTTGATCACATCCTTAACTCTAAGTCGATATCCTATGCAAGCTCCTCTCTCTCTCTCTCCTACAGAGATCTTGCATCTCTATTACGAGTACTGGCATCCTCTAGCACCAGTGTCTCCTTGATATTATTAAAAAAGATGCTCTCCTGTTCAAAACCAAGTAGGATCTCTTTGTACAATGTTGAATAATTTTAATCTTTTCCTAACCATTAAATTTCTCTTAAACTTCAAAAAAATAATTTTCCTGGTAAATGTTCATATGCATTACCTGTCACAGCTGTGTGCAAGATTGTTGTCTTGTAGGACTTGGGGAGTACCTATGTATTTCACAATGGCGCTACTTGTGTCTCTTTGAAGAGTCGAATGATTGATAGCACAAATGAACAAATTGTACAAGTTATTGGTAGTTTGATGTTGAGTTGATGATTGACACCTGACAATAATCTAAACATCGAAACCTTTTTCAAAATATGCGGCATCTTTTCATTTTGATTATTGTAGTTACTGCATCTTTCTTTCTAAATATTTGTGCCATCTTTCTTTCTAAATATTTATGCCCCTTTGAGAGCTCATGCGGCTGATGACACAAACGACAAATGTTTTGAGTTATTCCTAGTTAGGTGTTAAGTTGATGATTGGCATCTGGCAATAATCTAACTATCGTAGTTACCACATCTTCCCATAATGCCAACTCCTCCCCCCCCCGGGCCCCCGGCCCCACCCCAACCCACACCAAAAGAAAAAAAGAAAAGAAGAGAGAAAGAGAAGTAGAAGCAAAAGTTATTTCTCCTTTTGATTTTTTCTCTAATGTTCCACGTGTGATTGGACCTAGTACTGGATCGAAGAGAGCACGGAAAGTGGATTCTTATAGTGTGCAAGTTCATTGGGAACAATCATATATTTCCAGTTGTTTCTTGTCTCCATTGTTTACTAATATTAGCTTTCCGAGAAATGGTAATAAGTGAAGATAACTTGTCCACAAGGGAAACTGAAAACTTAGAAATTTTCTTTTGTCCAGAAATAAATAGATGTGGTTAAACATCTCAAATAGGATACAACTGACAATGACTACGGAGACGCTGTCCAGATGAGAATTTACTAAGAATACATTTTTAATATATATCTTCTCTTACTAATATGACAACTCTTTTGATGCAGTTTTTTGTATGTGTTTTTACTCATTCATTTTAAATTTATGAAATAAAGATAAATTATTAATTTTGGTATGGAAGTTTTATTTTCTGTAGAACTCTTCTAGTACATTTACTTTTGTTTAGTCTGAAAGCATGATGTTTGCCATATGTATGTCCATGTTTTAGGGTGAAATTGATAATTGACTAAGAATATCTACAGTTCGTTCAGATTAATGTTATACATTCATTTGGATTCTGACATGTTGATTTCCCCACATTTAGCTTATCAGTGTCACAGCGCTTCTTAAGCAGTAAGCAGTGATTCTTTCTCCAAGATTATCAACCCTGCCTTTTGTTTTTGATGATCTCATTTACAATTTTCTTTTATGGGATTATGCTGTTATAGTCAATCAAATGGATACAATAATAACTTTATGCTGCTGTATCAATTTGACACAATATTTTTCATTTTCAGAAGGCAAATAAGGATGTGAAACAGAAGAAGGATAATGTCAAGGTTAAGATTTGTTAGCTACTTCTTTGCCCCTACGAATATAAAGACTTCTTTCTCCTCTCTCTAGTAATATCAACCTGTTGAGCTTTGCTATCCTTTATTTGCCTTTTACCTTTCATCGCATGCCATTAGCTTCTTGTAGGTTTCCAAGTTCTTGAAACGGGGGAAGAAAATTGAGGAAAGAGATGCTGGTTAGCCTCGCTCTCTCTTGCTCACCCCTCCCATACTGTGATTTATGATTTCATTTAGTGCATGAACTGGAAATAGATGATAGGATTCCACTAGAAGAAAAGAGAATTAAGTCTGATATGGATTGTTGAATATAAATGCAGGGAATTACGGGAAAAAACAGTAAATAAACTAGACTTCCTTTCACTTAATATTTGCCTAATCTCTACCCTCCCTCCTACCTTTATTTATAGCTACTCCCTAACTAATTCCCTCCCCTCACATGCCATAGGAATAGAAATCTGTTGATGCGCCTATTTCTCAATCCTTCCGGACCCTTCTATAACCGGTGGCCTATCAATAGATTTTGCTTATTAATTATTTGCTATACCCCAAAACTGAAACTTTCTTCTTGTCTTAACCATGCATTTATTGAATGTCATTTAGTGGGTAAAGGCCTATAAAGCACCGACGCGGCCACGTGTGTCCAACACGACACATGTCAAGCACGCCTACGTGCGATTTTTCAAAAAATTATTGATACAATATGTCGTTGACACGTTGATTAAATTATTTAAAATTCTTCATTTATATAGTATAAATTAGTTTTATACTTGCTATTAATTTTTCTTGTCGAAAATTTTTAAATATGAATACATATTTGTTATTTAATAATAATTTTTGAATTAAAAATATATAATATTTTTGATAAAGAAAAAATGATCATGACACAGGAGTGTCATTATCCGATAAGTGTCGAACACGGACATAGACACGTTGCTTTAGTTAAAGTGTTCGCGCTATAGAGGTAAAGGCAATATGGAAAAGATGTAAAGTGCATGCCTGCCTTCCAATATTCTACAATGCTTGACAATGATTTCCTTAAATATATTCCTATTATGTAAATTAGATTGTTTAGATTAGTTGAATTGTCTGAATTAGAGAGATGAAATGTATCTAATTATGGGTGTACTAGAAGTTTGACGTTAGTTATCTATGATACACTATTCTCAAAGCTTTTGAATCACTTTTCATGCTATTTTGTTTTAATGGGAAATATGAACAGAGTAAACCATAGGTAGGCCTTTTGGATAACCAGAAGGAACCCATTATATCAATTCTTTATAATTGGATCAATTCTCAGTCGACTTTGATCCATTGACTAACCTAATTCAAGATTCCTTGTGCAATGAACAGCATCATGTTATATGCCATATAATATCTCATGATGGTTTATGTAGAGTAAAAGACATAGTTTTTATTGGACTGACCTTTTCTTAAAATTCTGCGACTATAAATGAAACAATGTAGAAGCTTTGTCTAATTAAAACATGCTAGATGTAATAAGAATGATGTAGGATTCCCAAGTACTATTTGATGCAGCACCAATAGAAAAATTAATGAAGAAGGAGAAAATCAATGAATTAGGAAGAAGAAATCAGGGGAATGGATGGAAGAAGAGAATATGGGAAGAAGAAGAATAACGGGGAAGAGGGAGAATTTCGCCACAAGCCACCAAAATATTTATTATTCAATCATCAACTACTGAAATTACATTGCAATTAGGTTTAAATAGTAAAGACTAAAACCCTAACTAGAATGAACTTGGAGGCCAATACAAGCCCAATTACGTAAATAAAAATCTAAAACATTAATAAAGTCCAACTAGAAATAAAATAGATGATGTTCTCATCAATTCTCCCAGGGTGGGAGAAAAATTCGACCCTATCGAGTTGATAGATCACTATAGGCTGCAGTTAATCTGATACTCCAAATGCTTTAAGTCAAGTCACGGGGGACGATCTTTCTGACGAACTAAGTATCGAAATTTCATGATTGATAGTACTGAAAATTGTAGCTTATTCCCAAGAATATGATCTGGCCAAGGGGCGGTCTTTCCTTCTAACCAAATACTGATACTGGATTCCAAATAACCAATACTGATGCACCTCATCTTCAAAATTTTCACATGATTGTACATAATGAGGAACACAAGAAGCACGTCAATCTACCCAACAAACAAGAAAGTACTGAATCTTGCCATCATTGGTCAATACAACACGTTTATCTAAAATAATATCAATTTTATCTTTGTGTGCAGTGACAGATAGTATTCAAGTAGAAATATCAACATAGTCAAGTTGGGGGTCTACAAAGTTAAGTAGAAATGGATCATCAAAGAAAGTAAAATGGTGTATGTAAGTAATGAGTCCTCAACATTTAAAGAGTGGTAGCAAAAATGTGATGAAAGAGCAATGACGTACATTTGGACCAACATACTTTAAAATTTCACAAGGACGAGCACTACAGACTTGCAATATAACAAAATCTCCAATTTTCGGGAGTGAATAGTACCCGTGAATAGTACGATGAACATTTTTTTATATTTTTTTTATAGTTTTTTGGAGAACAACTATGAAGAGGCTGGAAGAAAATAAATTGGCTGCTCACGCTAAAAATTTATGTGTTTGTGCTATTCCACAAGTTCTTGGGAAAGAAATAGGAAGAAAATTTTGGATTGGAGATGAGAGATTACCCAAGTTTTGGTTTTAATTCCAAATTTGATGCAGCACCAATAGAAAAATTAATGAAGAAAGAGAAAATCAATGAATCGGGAAGAAAAAATCAGGGGAAGGGATGGAAGAAGAAGAGAATAGGGGAAGAAGAAGAATAACGGGAAAGGGGGAATTTCGCTACAAGTTGCCAAAATATTTATTATTTATTCATCAACTACTGAAATTACATCGCAATTAGGTTTAAATAGTAAAGACTAAAACCTTAACTAGAATGAACTTGGGTCAATATAAGCCCAATTACATAAATAAAAATTTAAAACATAAATAAAGTCCATAAAATAAAATAAAGTCCAACAAGAAATAAAATAGATGATGTTCTCATCACTATTACTTGACAAATTTTAGAGGACCAATTGAATGTCTCACACGGCAACCAGTTCTAGGTCCTGTCATTTTATATGGAGTGTCACTTGTCTAATGCCTAGAATCAGGCTATCTGATTATGCATGCTTTTGACACATTTTCAATTAATTTCTGATTCTGCTCATACATAGCTTCTCATGGCCCACATTTTGTTTGCTTTTGCATACGTTTAGGAACAGAAACTATGGCACTGAAGAAACAACCTGAGGTATTGTTCTTGCATGTATATTCTTGTGCTCTTCGATTATGTCTTATTGTTTTCGTTTTGCCTTCTCTTTCTTACAGTTTCCTTATACATAATCATATTAGAAATCAACTTAGGAAACTGAAGTTTCCTGATTGAATTTCTACTCTCTCTTTGACCATTTATTGTCAAGTCATCTTGCAAACAGAAACATCTTTCATCTCAGTAGCAGTGGAATTGAGGGCTCCATAAAACTTAGCCTTGCTAGTTATTTAATTTTAATAGAACATGGAGTGCCATCAAGAGAAGTAAATTAAATTGTCATAGTCTACATCATGTCATCAATTGATGATGAAGCCGCCTGTAATATATCTGCACCTTGCACTTTGTCAACACTGGTTGCGTTTGTTTTTTTTAGAGAGGATGATCAAAGCAATGATCTTGGCTCCTGCAATGTCTCCAATCGACCTGCCATCCCTTTGTGCCCTGCCGCTTCTCTTTTTCCAACAAAAGGGCTCCCAAAAGACCATGAAGATCTACACACCCACAAATACGAAGCTGGAGATCCGCAATTTCCATTAATGCACTGAATTAAGACCGAATTAAGATGTTCCTTGTTTTGCAATATTAGTTCTTTGATTTTACATAGCTATGAATCCTAAAGTTGTATAGAAAAAAATTAATAATGGTTTCTGATTCAACTATTATGATGCTTCAATTGCTTCCTTGTTACTGCTTGGTTGCATTCGACAGTATTACATGGGATACATGAATTACAATTAGAAATTATCTCATTCAAACATGAATTTGGTTTTCACCAGTTCCAATTTCACGTCACCATATATGGCAAAAATTCATTCAATAATGTGCTACAGGTAGAACATAAACCTTTTTTTTTTTTTTAGTTGAAACTATGTAGTGTCAATTTTTATTTAAAAGCCTTGACACAATTCTAAGGCAAGAAGTACAAAGAGCTGTGCGCCCAAAAATTAACAGTTACTTGGTTTGCTTAATTTTCTTGGATGCCTATGAAGGGACTAGATAAAGTACTGGAAAGCTAGTCATGTCTTTGGGCCATCATATGTCTTGGAGTTTGGAAAGCCATCAACTTGATTTATTTCATGCATCTCTGATTCTTTTAAATTATCCTTAAGATATTATTACATATTTTATCCACAAAGTAAATAGGTAACCTTCCTTTTCAGAGTACTAGCTCTATTGAAGTCTACCAAAGGAAGTCCGAAAGCAAAACCCAGGGTGCATCATCCTCAAGGAAAAGGAGAGCTGACCCAGTTCCTGCCTCAAATTTGTCTGATCCTAGCAGTTCCCCTCGGGTAAAAAAGCCATCCAGATTTAATTAGCAAATTCTTCAGCCTGCCACATGCACTTCAGCCACCACCACCATGTGGTATTGCCTGCTAAGTGTGTCTTGTTAGGTTGACACTTGATGTTAAAAAAATTATGAACTTCATTCCTAATTTTCCTGATCTATATAAATCAAGAATAAATTCTGTAAGTTCTTTGCGCCCCTAGCTTTCGGTATCAAAATTCATAGTTCTGCTATTCTTAATAGCAAATTGAACCTTGTCCTGGTATTTTTCTTTTTGCATTTAGAATTCTTGTTTTAATTGTAGAAATTGATTGCTCCTGGAAGTATAAAGCAGATGGCCTACATGGTTTCAGGACATCAGTCAGCTTGATCAAATATAGGCTTTGTTGTATGAAGTTTAATACTTAAACTGGTGCCTGGTGTTTGGGTTCAAAATTGTTGTATAATGTGTTTGCTTATCCACATGAGATGTTTCAATATGATTTTGAAGGTCCTTTCTGCTACCTCTCTCTACTTGAGAGTTTTTTGTTATATGGTCACTAGACCAGGTGAATATAACTCATCTTCTTTTAGATTGTAGACACTTGATTATTTGTAACCTTAAACCCTCCACCCCCACCAAGGTGCAGTACAGAATTTGTGGTGCATCGTACTGAAGATAGCTCTTAGTCTATTAAATAACTCTTAATTAGACATTTGGCATCACTGGAAAAAGCTAAGAATTGTAAACTATGCAAGTTGAACCTGACCAATATGGAAATGAAATGAAGTTACTTTCTCTGTTAGTGCCATCGGCCATGTTGTATGTTAAATTTAAAATAACAAGAAGTTTTGGTGACCTCAAAATGTCATCATCATCTTACATATATGACAAATTATTTGAAATACTTCTGGTAACTTATTGAGTATCATGATTTTATGATTAGTAGAGGTAGGCACTTCAGCATCTTGTCAACTATCTTGTGAGTTAATTTGTGGTATAGTTGAATTTTTCCGTGATTGATGATGAAATAAAGCCTTCATTGAAGTTTATTAGTGTTTATCCGTAATAGTTTATTTATGTTTTTGACTCTGCAGGTCGAAGATGATGACATAGAAGAGTTCTCTAGCACATCTCAGGTTTGATTTCTTAATGCAGTTTTAACTTCAATATGATTGTAATGAAATGCAAGGACATAAATCGCTTTGGTTTATTTCCCCCCCCCCTTTTCTTTTTTTTTTTAATAAATCCTGCTGATTCTATTTGTTGACAACTTTTCGCAGGATATGAATGCAAGTGATGGAGATTGGACTGCTTGAGACTGTAATGCTTCTACAACAGTGAGATTGATGCTAGAACATTTTTTATTGAAATATATAACACTGGCATTTCTTAGTTTGGCTCCTGAGGTGATATGTTACTGTGTAAGCAGAAAATCTTTCGTGTGCTTGATTGTTTAACGTCTTCATTTTTCATTATATTCATTACCATTGTAACTGAGATTCATTAGTTTGTCCAGTTGGTTTTAAGTTTATCAGTAAAACTGCTGGATTGAAGACATTGGGTTTGGGGAGGGGGTAGTGAATATAATCAATTATACATGCTATTTGTTCCTGGATCAGTGCAATAAAAATTTTCAATCTCTTAGCTTCTGTTTTGAAAGAATCTATAAATAAAAAAATAAGTTGTAAATAAGTGCATAAGATTTGTGGGTCAGAATGTGATGGTTGAAAATTACAGTTGACATAGACTGAAGTAAAAAGTGTTGGAGATTGACGTTTGCATCATTATCTTTAAACTTTTGTTTAGGCTCGTAAATAGATTAAGAAAGCTTCACGAATGTATGCAAGAAATATCAAGGGGAAAAATTGAAATATGTTTTAAGTCTTTTGGGTGCAGAATTTAATTAAGTGACGCGTGCACAAATTCCTTAAATGGGTAGTTAGATTTGAATCCATGACATTAGCTTAAATTGTGAGTGAACGCCACATGTATATTAGTTAAATCTTGTCCTGAACCGGTTTCTTCGTGGAAATTAATTTTGTTTCCTCTCAACTTTTCTAGCTGTTGAGAATTAGAGATTATGTATTATTGAATACCATTGAGATGCATTCATAGGTAAATAAAACAAGTATTAGTTTCATCCTGCAGAAACATGAAGGTGACACTTGTTGGCATATAAGTTATTCTTTCCCCTGGCCTAACTAGGATTTCTAGTACCTAATCTACGTTAGAATTTGTAGCCCTTGACAGGAACTTCATGCAAATTGGAGGTTTCACCCCGACTAGAGCGAGTATACAGCTAGGCTAAGTCCACATTCCATCACCACAAATCAAACCAGAAGCTATGGCAGGCTTGAAGGCATCCGCATTGCCTTCGTTTTTCTTCTGCCATAGATAGAGTATGAGGCTTCCAACGCACATATCAACGGCAGTCTGTGAACCCAAAAAAAATGGTACTGCCATTGCTGTTGGAAGTGGAATAAACTATGAACGTTTCTTGCCCAAAGCATCTCTGGTTAAGTTGATGAGAATGGACACTGCAAAGAATCCATAACATGGCTTGAGGCAACCTTTTGGCAGAGCCGAGAAGCCTTCAACCCCTAGTTTGGCCCTATTATAGAAAATTTTGGCGAGGGGAGCAGGATATTCACTTGTAGGAAGCTCGAGATCAGAAAATGCTTTGTAGAAAATCCAAAAGATGAAAGGAAAAATAACACATCTCGATGCAGTCCCTATCACATGGCTGACAAATATTGAACAAGGAGAAGCCAAGGTCAAGTAGCCGGTCTTGAAATCTTGCATGAGGTCAGTGGAAGTATAAGTTATAACTATCACTCCACATGCTGCTAGACCAGCAAGAATTCCACCTTGTGATTCCCTCGCCCATGTCCCAATCGTAAAGATGGCTAGGTGTCCGTAATGATGTGAGAATGAGCAATCAGTGAGCCCAGACCCATATGCATTACAGAAGACCAAGCTTGGTGCAATAATATAGATAACAATTCCGTAGTACCACTTGAGCTGGTGGAAAATGTGAGGAAGGACTGCAGTAGAGACTGTAGCAAGGGCGAAATAGCCTCCAATGGCAAACCATGTTGGGATTTGATCCTTAAGAAATAATTCGATACGGCGTTGGTCATCATAAGAGAGTGATCTTCGCACAGGAGAGGAATTTTCTACAATCGAGATTTGCATGTTTGCATTTCTGGATAGAATTTTGTAAAACAAACTAGCTAGAGTTTGGCTTTGAACCTTGAAAAAGTTGTATAGGCCATCACCGAGTAACATGGAAATGCCAATGAATACTTGATGTAGTTTTAGATGACATTTTGTTTTAGTGAAAGGTATTCGTGAAAAGGCAAATTAATATATGGCAGCATTGAGTGAAAACTATGGGGGATTAGAAATTCACCTTGTAACTATAAAGTCCCTGCAAACTACGTGGGTCGAGATCTGCAGAGTACCAATCACCCTTTCTAGTTTCAATGAGAGGCCACAAAATACCTCAAGAAAGAATTCCTCCAAGAAGAAAAGATACGTTTACGATGTGAGGACAGATCATCCCTACTCCAACTGTTGATGCTGAGAATTTGAAGAAAAACCCGTAGTCCCCAAATAAGGTTCCAAGTGGAACATAAGATGACTTTGTTTGATGTTAACCTTAGTACTAGTATGCAGACAATGACTTGGCTATATCTCGACTGAGTTTGAGTCTGTCTGATGATGAGATTAGGTCTTAAATTGAAAAACAGTGAATAAACCAGACTGCATTTTGGTTAGATGATGCTCAGTCACATGTTAGTGTTTTAGTTGAAAGTTTTGCCTATGAGCAGGAAACATCATTTGGTTTTTTGACATTAAAAATTAGAGACCAATTGTTAAACAAACTTGCTACATGTACAGAAGAATTATATAGATAGGTTGACAGATAGCAAGCATTCATTGGATGTTGGACAAAAATTAGTTTTAAACCAACCAATGCAGTGTTATCATGTGTATATTTGTAATCCCTTGTGTCAAAAGCTCATGTACAAGAAGCTCTATTCATTGTCAAATAAGGAAAAGAACCTTTTACGCTTACACTAGTTCAACTATTTGTTCCTAATTTATATGCATTTTCAGTTGGTTTGTGTACATTAAAATTTTCCATTTTCAATCCACAAGCAGATACATATTAATATAATAATCTTTGCCTCAATTAAAATAAAATGACAATTTCAAATCAGTGATGGATAATAAGTTTGTAAATAGATCAGAAATTAGCAACTGTAACTAAAATAAAATCGCTTTAGTTTAATGGGCATAGTTGTTGGAATACCGCAACTAAATTAATCAGTTGGTGATGACCTAAGGTTTCTTATTTGAAGAAAATTTACCTATCCTACTTTCGTATTAGAAAAATTTTGACAGAATTTTTTTTTTGATAAATAGCATTAAAATACATGCACTATATATATATATATATAGGGGTCGAGTTCAGTTAGAACGGACTACGAGCGTTGAAAGTTTACTATCGACAATGAACATCCGTGATAACGGGATTTTTTTATTAATATTTAATTAAACAATATTCATAAAATTGGACGGATTAGAACTAAAAGAATTAGATACACCATTGAACTAGAACTAGATACAAACTTTCATTTTGGATGAAAAATCGTTTCATAATCTGCAAAATGTCTTAATTTATTTTTCAATTAAATGGGCAATATATATTAATAAAATGCTGATATTCAATTTACAATCAAATTTAATTAAACAAACATTATTATATTAACAAAATTCAAATTATTTATGTGCTTATATCAATTTTATGTGCTTGTATGATTTCACTTTTTTGCAATTGGTTTTTTTGTGAACGTAAAGTGGAACCTTTTATTAATTATATAAGTTTTGTTGAAAGATTCCTTATGACACTAAGGCCGATTTTCCTTCAAATTCATCCATCATTAATTAACTGAACTCTCAAATCAATTGATTAGAGGGGAAAAAAAAGGAAATCAAGGAGAGGGACAAAACACCGGTTAAAATGTTTCTACTTGCATTAAATGAGTAAAATTGAACATATATTATTTTGTTACATTATGTGCTACAAATCAATAAGTGCCATCATGGTAAAGTTCTCAATACCTTTACGAAAGATAGTAGGTTTGAATCACCTTCCTTGTATTTGTTTTGGTAAAAATTGTTGAAATATAAAAATTATAAAAAAAGTATTGCTTTTGAAGAGTTTTGAACATAAAACCTCCAATTCAATAGTGGAATGACTAACCAACTGAGCTACCAAAGATATTTGTCATTAATATGAGTTATCGAATATATAATTTAAAAATTCTATCTGTTATCAGCAAAAGAAAATCTCCCCGACGAATCCAGCTAGGGTGACCGCCCTAACTCGTCGCCCATTAAATCTGCACCTACATACGAGGTTTTGATTTTAACCAGTATAGTGACTTACTTCGCTGCTTTCGCCCCTCCAAGAGCATGGAAACTGTTAATAAAATGTCCACTAGCAGTACCACTAGGATATGCCAACTTCAAGTCTATGATCATTATCTAGATACAAAAAATGTGATGCACCATTCAGGATTCAAAAATATTAAAAATTTATACATTGGACATATAAAACATGTAAAGCATACCTTCCGGAGAGAAACCACTAAAAAATTACCGGAGAAGCTTGTTACAAAAAGTAAGCCAAAATCGAGCCTGGTGCCGAGTTTTTTTAGTCTAACTCATGTTTGGCTTTTGCTGTTTGTTTGACAAAACTTTCACTCATTCCAAGCAGGTAAGATCCATAGCCTCCTGAACAAGATGCTCGTGTAAGATATTCTGTCTGAGCGAGGGGGAAACGAAGAAAGATTGGAAACGTATATACTGACCGCTAAAACTGATGCCTGTGAAGGCTGTAATGCAGGTCTGAATGACTGCAATTTCTTGGCGGGTCCAGGGCTGATTCAACGCGCAGGCTTTCTCAAGTGTTTTAATCAAAATCTCGACAAAGAAGAATCCCAATAGATCAGAAGCGACAGTAAATGATTATATGATATTAGCATCGAAGTTGAGTTTCATCGCTATGAAGCATAACATCACCGACAACATAAAACTCACCACAAAGGCTCTTATAGTTAACTGTTCTGTCCATGAAGGTACCTCTTCGTTCTCAAATATCCCATCTACTGACAATTCTTCATCTTCTAATGTGTGAATATTTTCATCACGCAATCCAACTCCTCTCTCTACATTATTTTCCCTTCCGCTGTCCATTTATTCCCTCTGGATTGAAACTTTAGGACTGTCTGGGGGAAGCTTTCTATGGTATGTAGATAGATAATTGAAGAAATTTATACATCGACCCCCCCTCCAACTCCCCTGTAAAAAAATTTAAAAAATCAAAAAAGGGTTGCAATCTACTAGGGTGGTCCCAGGATCCTGGAAAAATATGCCCATTGAAAATTGTAACACACGAGACATGACCTTAACAATATTATAAATATCAATCGCGCTACACCTATAGAAAGAGGATCTCACAGGGCTTCAACAGAATGATGTGGCATTATTGTAGAATAAATAAATCAACAATTCCTGCCCAAATAAACGCATTAATTCCTGATTCGTAATCTCCCTTCTCCTCCTGAAGCCCTAGAAATCACGCGAAGAAAATGTCGATCGAACTCCGTCCGGCGCCTTTGTCCACAACGCCGCAGTGATATACAAACCCAAATCGAACGTCCATCATGCTTCCCCTGCTCTCCGATTGTAACTCCCCGAAATCTTAACCACTCGAAGCCGTTGCCTAGGTCAAAACCATCGCAGTCGACATCTGGCCATCATCTCAGTCCACAGACACTACACTCATCTCTAGCTTAGTACGTCTCCGTCGTCCAAAATCGCCGTCCTCAGAACGACCTCCGAGCAACGACACATAGAATGTGTGTTTTAGATTGCACTTGCACCTTTCTTCTGGCTACATATGGAATCATCTTATGCAAGGTTTGCGTTATAATTACATAGAAATTATACAGTTAGAACAAGTGACATTGTTATTCATCTTGAACTGATTATCAATGTTGTTTCTGAATTGGGGAAGTTTCTATAGTAATATAGAGTAATTTGCCTTCGGAAGTAGCGTTCATATAACCAAAAAATGCTTCCTACGAACTGCATTTCATACTGTGAAATGTTTTGCTCGAAAATCACTGGTTTTGCTGAAATATGTGGTTTGCAGTGTATCGATTTATATAGCTGTCTGCATATTATTTTATGTAGTAATGACTTTGAATTTGATTTTTTGATTTCTCGGGTAGGATGGGAGGACAGAATGTTGGCGTTTGTCACGGTTGTAGAAGCACGAAGCACTCCTTTACTGATTGCCCGGTAAAACGACAATATCCACGGTGCGCACTGGGATTGCAGATGTGTTTTGAGGTTGAAAGGGAGACTAGTAATAAAGGGTGATTATTTAGAACCTATAGTAGTAACTATGGATATTTTGATTGGGTTGTCAACGAAGAAGCAAGCGGAGAATCGAGTACTATTAATGAGGCATTTCATCCTGTGGGCATCGAAGAAGTCGATGACTTGCCAAGCATGTTCGACAGTCTGGCTCGAATAGCTGAAAAAAGAGACATTGAGATCTCATTGAACGTGACATTTCACAAAGGAAAGCGAAGCGAGGACGTGAATGGCAAAGGAGAAGCCCACGATTGATGTTTATCCTATAGACGGTTTTCTAAGTTTCTGATACAATGGTTTCTTTCCTGCTGGATAAATGTTGTCCAATATGATCCTTTAATGACATGGTGAAAATATGTTTTGTAGAGATAACTCATACTTTGGCTATATGGTGTTGGCATTATGATGTTTTGTAGTTCAATTGTTGGTAGTCTATGGAATCTGTGGTGCACCAGTAGGATTTTATTCTTTGTGGAATGTATGACTTGTAGGTTGTCCTGGTTGGTGAATGCAATCCTTGTTTATTACTGTTATGGTTTATGGATTTGCTCAGAATTTATTAATGTTATGGTTTCTGTCTTCGTTGGTGACCTTGTATATCTTACAATCTCATCCAACAAACAAATGAATGGCCAATGGAAGATAAAGATTTTATTACTCATAATAATGTCAAAATTCAAAATACTACAGAGAACACAAACTTAAAATACACAGGATGACAACAAATGGTAATAACATAGCAGAGGCTGATCATAGGAGAGGGTAGAAGACTGTTTGACCACTACAAAATACTACTCCAATCTTGTGGGAAAACCCCTATTCGACCACTACAACATTCATTTATTATGTCTTCATCCGGGATTTCACTTGTCATACGAGCGTCTGTCATTGTTCTGACCATACAGCAGAGGCCGATCATAGGGGAGGGTAGAAGACTGATTTGCAACTTGTGAAGCTCCTTGGGAAGAATTTGTGGCAACGACCTGATAAAAAAGATAGTGACAGGAAATCCCATGTGAACCCCACCAAATATTACACGAATGATTCTTGTATGTTCAAACACACTTTATTAATAAATTAATGAAATGGAAATCACAGAATCAGACATATTAGCCACAACGCAGATAGCCTTCTCTCAAAGAGTACAAGAAAAAAGACTTGAAAGACAAGGTGGCTCAATTTTTCTTTAGCTTACGATCATGTTAAGTGTTGCCAACAATTCAAACCTTAAACAGCACTTGACCGTTCATAAGCAAAATTATTCAGATTTGAGTATTGGAAAATATAAATTTTAAAGAATTAGCCTCAGAATTGCAGAATAACAGCAAGGCCTTGAGACCATTCCTCGCAGTGGATGATGTTCCTTATACAATGGATTGGTTTCCTTCCCTTTCACTAACCTTAAATAAATACATAATTGAAATTCTATCTTAGAGGACAGTTTAAATAAATAAATGTGTTTCAAGCTCTTACAATTATTAAATCATAATTCTTTTCCATCACAATTTCTAAATGGCATACTTCACAAATATTACTTCTAAAGAGCATCCTTTACCACTAAAAGCACTAAACAATACACTGGCACAATCAAGAGTGCCAGGCTACAAGTCTAATTTAAAAATCATTGAACCAGAAACCACCATTTTAAGCTTAAAATCAAGGACCCCTTCAACTATTAAGTTTCGACAACGGATATGTAAATCCTGACTCTTGATTGAAGGTTCTATGCTCCCATAGTAATTAAAAGGATGCATAACACCACTTCTGAATATTTTGATTGAACGATGCATAAAAAAAATGCAAAAGCTAAAAATTTAGACTCCATATTTTGCTTACATGTTACACAGCTAGCTGTGGCTAATCTGCTGGATGTCTATATTTCAATTTCATAATCATAGACAAGAAAAAAACATTTTGGTGTAAGTAAAAAAACCAGAACACAAAAAGGACACTAAATGAAAAGTCTATCAGATAATGATAAAATATGCGCCATTTTAGTCGTGGCTGGGGGTCGAACATGTGATTTTTCTTTCAAATACAAGTTACTTTGAGTAACTTTTTTTTCCCAAACATGTTTTTGATGCATAACTTTTTCTTACTTTAAAAGATTACTTATTTTATTACTTATTTACTAATAAGGGAACTCTTGATTAGACTTGTATAATTTTTATTCCTATAAATTAGAAATATAGAAGTCTTGCTTATAAGGTTACAAATAAATGATTTATATTAACTAAACGAGCCCAAAATTATAAAAATAATATAAGAGAATCGAAAAAACATGCCAAGAATAAGAAAGGTCCTGTTCTTTTCAAGCTTTAGAAATTGTAATAACTAGGAAAATAAAAGAGGAAAAGTAGCAGACAGGGGTCCCTATTCCTAGGGAAAATTAACAGAAATGAAAGGTACAAAGGTTGAAGGACCAAAAAATAGAGTTGAAACAAGACACAATCTATCAATGGAGTTGTCTGTTCAATTCATCACTAATTGAAACATATGATGCCAAACATCCAGAGTTTGAGAATTTGTGTGCATTCATCTACTTATGAAATTTATCCTGATTGCTTTTCATATTGAGTAAGCATGCATATCTTTTTGGGCTCTGAAAAATTGTCGAATGGTGAACATTAGGAGATAATTAATTGATAAACTTTAAGAAAAATGAAAAATTACATTCTCAAGAAACGAACAAGAAGTAAAATTTTCACCTGATCAGAATTTAACCCAACTTCACCCGTTCCGATAAATGTAGCACCTTACTGCGGAAAAGGTGATGGAGCAAAGTACGGACCCGAGGATTGAAATTGAATTGTGGCATTAGTCGACGAGGGGGGATCAAAGTAGATGAAGGTAATTGTTGGGTAAACATTTGGCTCATGGCATCCCCCTACATCAAATAAGAACATAAACGCACATTCATCAACTTAAAACTAGGGAAAATCCATAAACGTACCAACAATAGCTGGGAATATGAGAATGGTGTTGGTTGCAAACATTGAAGTTCTGGAGTGATATGCACAACCGGTGCAGCGGCTTCCACGGGAAAATGACTATCCTTTGGTCTCTTCCCTTTGCATTTAGTCGAAGCATCCTACATATAAATCGAACATTAAATGATTTTGTAATTGAGATCCTTTATGATTAAAGGGTTTAGTACAACGACATACCTTCGCTTTTTTCGAAGTCGACTCCAACGGGCCCTTTTTTCGAAGTTTTCTTGGTGCCCCCTTCCTGTTCGATAATTTGGGATCTAATATGTTCGTGGCGGCGGTATTTTATGAATCATTTCATTGGCTCGCTATGTTAGTAGTAGCCTGCGAAATAACATTACTGCCACAACTAGAATTTAAAGACCGTAACTCTACAGCTTGACATTTTATCCAATCCATAATCACATGCGATCGCATGTCGTCAGTGCAAGCAAGGTCTACCACCTCTACAAATGCCTGACACATGTCATCGTACCTCGTTTGTTCAGGAGTGCTAACCAACCTGGAGTACTTCACGGGAACCCTTGTATGTGCTCTACTGACATCTCTTCGCCATCTCCGCACTATATACCTCTCTGGCATTTCTGTGATGTCATTACGGTCTAAGACGGTGATCGCATGCCTGCATATAATTCCTCGAAAATCAAACAAATGGCAGCTGCAAATAACTTCACATGTATCGTTCCGATATGAGACATTGTATGTTTTCTTCTTCTTGTCCCCAGGGCAGTTCACAGACTCCCGAACCTCGTAAGTCGTCCCAAAACACCCTTCTTGTCTGAAGCAACGTCACAGTACATCTTTCCTGTGAACTCCTCCTGCACTTCCTTGAACTTTGAAATAGTGTAAGTAGACTGAAATTGCTTCTCCATTTCAAATGTTGTTGCACACGACACCATTTGTGAGTATGACTTGAATTCCGCCTAAAACTCCTTCTCGACCTTATTCATTAGCGCCCTTTCATACTGTTCGACAAGCTATTTTAAAGAGGTCTTCGAGTGGACATATCTTTCGAAGAATGCATTCATACTCTCACTCCGTTGTGTCGTCGACATTCCTGCCCAGAAAGTGATTTTCAAGAAGCAAGGTACCCATTTACATCTGTTCTCATACAGGCCCAACAACCAATCATTATTGTGTAAGTCAAACCTACTGATCATATTCATCCAGCCATTTCAAATTCATCCTCGTGTTGCGAATCGTATACTAGCCCATGCATACAAAAAAATATTGAGCTTTTATCAATGTGATAGCCAAACTTTTCTAGCAACTTCTTCATGATGTGCTATAAACACTATCTGTGTTTTGTACTTGGAAAGACAATTTCAATCGCATTTTGCATAGCCTTATCTTGATCAGTAATAATTCCATGGGGAGGTCGACCATGTATGCACTTGAGCTATGTCCTAAATAGCCATACAAACGTGCTCGTATCCTCATTGGATAGCAAATCACAACCAAGCAGTGTTCATTGTCCGTGGTGATTTACTCCAACAAAATGTGCGAAAGACATATCATACTTATTCTTGAGATACGTGGTATCAAACGTGACAACATCTCCGAACTCTTTGTATGCTTGTCTAGACCTATTATCTGCCCAAAATACATTCTTCAGGCGTACCTTGTCATCTAAATCCATACTGAAATAAAATCCTGGACACTACTGCATCTTCGAAAAGTATGATTGCAAAGCTGCGGCATCTCCTTCTCCTAGTCTTAACCGTCTCACCTATTTAATATAGTTCCGACAGTCCCTGTCAACGTAAGTCATATTTTCGTATCCACCTGCTTCCACAATTTTGGAGTTGAAGCTTTTGTGCAGTGGAATTCCTGCCACATCATTCACCTCAAGCTTCCTTTTCACATTTGCACTTAGTTCTCTGATGCATCGATAAAGTCTAGATTTCGAAGGGCTTGTTTTGTGATAGTGCTCAAGGTTCACAGTGTTAATTCTCCTTTTTCCAAGGACATGCAGATGTAGATATCCTCGTTTTACAATCTGTTTGACTCGTTGGTTGTGGCTTCAAAACACTGGTACTATTATTACTCCTTCGCCCTTCACGGCCACACGTGAACGTCACATATCTAACTACTCCGTCGTTGTCCTTTTTTCAATTCCTTCTCTTCACGAGAAAGCCAACGACGTAAGCATATCTCTTGTAGAAGTCAAACAACTCTGTCTCACTCACGAATGTCATTCCAACCTCAAGCAATAGCTCTCCATCTCCTCGTAACGATTCGTTGCCAACAATATTGCTACTGTCCACAAAAATCTCATTTTTGGACTGCACCATGGGAACATCATTCTTGTCTCCCATCATTTCGTGCACTGCGACCAGATAACCATTCAAATGAGTGAAAACATTAACTTTAATTTCTACAGAACGTTTATGATGCATTAATTTTTTAGACAGCATTACTTAATATATATCTCCATTTTCGAATTCAAATTATTTCGTATGATTGATCCTAAAATATAAGGTGATAAGTAACAATACTAAAAGCTTTCACATATTGAAAATATGAAGCAGATCTA